AGAAGATAAAGGTAGGACGAAGTATGAGAAAGAGATGGTAGATGCGAATAGATGTAGTTCTTTCCAGGTGATCTGAAGTTCCACTTGTACAATTTAATACCTGGTGGATTTGAAGAAAAGCGTGTGCAGTTTTATGCTGCTGAAATTACTCTCGGCTTACAACATTTACACAAGGAGCATATCATTTACAGGGATTTGAAACCAGAAAATATTCTTCTTGATGATTACGGTTGTTTTAGTTTTCTGTTTTATCTTTATCGGGGGAAATTTGTTTGTTTGTTTAAAAATTAAATGAGTGGCGATGGAAAATCCGTCACCATTAAATTAAAACCCATTTGGTAATATATCGGAACGATTCAAATACAAGCCGGCTAGACTCGAGCTACTGTTATCTTTAATGTCCACTCCATAAGTTGCTGCAAGAGAATGGTAATGTAATTATGTTTCAGGCCATGTCCGAATATCTGATCTAGGACTTGCAGTTGAATTAAGAGATAATGAACCTATAAAAGGATGTGTCGGTACGGTTGGTTATATGGGTGAGTCAGTTTTAAAGTTATTTTATTGGTAGTTGAGGTGTCACTACAAAGAGCAGTCATCTGCATTATCGGAAGCTATTATGGAATAATTTCGCATATTCAAGTGACACCAAAGTAGAAATTCGTGAAGCAGATTTATACTAAAAAAGGACAGCCATATTTAGCAACTGTCTTCATATGCATCAAGCATATTTATATATTAAACATGACAGTATTTATTTTAATTCTATGGAGTTATGAAGGTAACACTGATCATCTGATGTGATGATGACTTGACATGGCTAACAACTTATTTTTCCAATTTCAGATTTATTTTCGTAACATTGCTTTTTTTTTTTTGTTTTGCATATTTCAGCACCAGAAGTTATTAAAAATGAACGATATTCATACGGTGTCGATTGGTGGGGATTGGGTTGCCTAATATATGAAATGATCGAAGGAAAGGTTGATATTGCTGTTTTTGCCTTCATTCTAAAATAATTTTTGTAGGGTTGCTGTTACATTGTGATGTTGCTATTATTTGGTTAATTACTTCAGGCGCCTTTTCGGCAACGGAAGGAAAAAATAAAGCGTGAAGAAGTGGAACGGCGAGTTCGCGAAGATCAGGAAAAGTATTCGGATAAATTTAGTGAATCTGCCAGGACTATATGCAGGTGACGATGGTCTCATTGTATATGATGACATTTGGATAAGAAAAAGAATCATTCATACTTGGCTTTTTTTTTTCTTTTTTTTTTGTTTTTTTTTGTTTTTTATTACCATTTCATTTTATTTAGGCATTACATATGTATAATGCATGAAATGGATGGTTGGACCTTGATGAACTAAATGTTATAAAATGAAGCAAATTTAGATGTACAGAATATGAAATTACATAAGGATCAAAAGCGCTACTAAGTAGATTAATTAATAAGGTTATATCCAAAGTGGTTCTCTTTATCATCAATCATAATTCAATTATTTAGCTCATTAATGAGCTGAATAATTGAATAAAGGGTTATGAAGGTTTTCATCGTTTGCTAAAAAATAGTTTAATTCAATTGGAATAGGAATCCCACTCTTCTGCAGGTTTGGCCAGTTCTCTTGAAAAGTAGACAAAAAAGATTAATCTGGTCTTTTGGAAAGCGGGAAATTCTTTTACTATGGATCGGTCATGTACATTTCGGAAATTCCACTTTCTCATCTTCTCTATGATGACAAATCTCAAGCGTATTAAGTCAATTACTGTGACTATTTTTTGAATAAATATCAATTAAATGCATATATCTGAGAATTATTATCATCATAACTTTGTTTTTACCGTTTTTGTAAACAGATTAATTTAGAAAAATGTCTGTATTTGATAATATAGCAACATTTTTTTCCAGAGGTCTTCTGCATAAAGAACCAGGACTTCGGCTTGGATGTCGCAGAGTTGGTAAACAGGAAGAAGGTGCTGAAGAGTTAAAAAGCCATCCTTTTTTCTTACAGGGAGATGTGAATAGGGGTAGGGAGCCGGTACCTTGGAAGAAAATGGAGGCTGGAAAGGTATATAATGGCAAATTTTTGAAGGAAGCATCTAAATGAAAGATGAAATAGTATGATGAATTTTAATATAACTCCGCTCACTTTAAAGCTTCTAAATTGAAGTTAAATATGCGTTTCTCCACCCATAGATGATGTATGGAAGAGAGAGTTGGAGGTGTGCAAATTAATTCTGATACTAATGGCAGATTATTTGGATAGTTTGTAAAACTTTTAATCATGCTCATTTTGCTTATCAAATTAAACTCCATTGCTATCTTCGGATTCGTTTATCCTAACGTTATGATCATTCTTAAAGTCAATACTGCTAATGAAAGGTGGCTTTTTTCAATCTGTATGAATCGTTTTATCCTGATTCCCAGAACAATATATGTCAAATGAAGCTTACAAACAACATTCAATCTGACCTGATCATTGTCTAGTTGCATTGTAATATATCCCAGTGAGAAATAAAAAAATCTTTTCTTTTCAACAAAGTACAGAAGTACGCCAAATTGTTGAATCTCTTAGGTGACGACATTATTTACAATTTATATCTTAATGTAATTTTTTGTTTTATACTTTTAGTTGACACCACCGTTTTGTCCTGATCCTAGAGCAGTGTATGCCAAAGATGTGCTCGACATCGAGCAGTTCAGTACTGTTAAAGGTGTAAGATTAGATGCAACGGATAACCAGTTTTATGGGAAATTCAGCACTGGATCTGTTTCAATACCATGGCAGAATGAGGTATAACTGGACGTTAAAATTTTTTATATTTAGAGCATTTGTGAGATATGTTAGAATTTTTCGAAGATTTGTCGCAACGTTAATGGACAAAGCCTATAGAGGACATATGTTTTGAGGATCACGTTGGACAATTTTATTTTCTCATTCCTTTCTCATTTGACGAAGCATCACCGTCGACAATTTTATGTTGGAAAATTGGTTTTCACAGCAAATTCGGGCCCGTCTACATTATTCGTATAAAGATACACTGTTGTAAAATTTTTTCAAGTTACACTGAGCTTAACCTTTAATTTGTTTCATGAAAGCATTTGTCAGCCTTTCTGTGGCAATATACGACCATAAGTACAGTGTAATCGATAGACCGCTTCTGATTTAACCCGTAATTCTTGTGAATGCATTTATGATCTAGTGTTTGACGCCCGTTGATGTATTCATAAATTTGCAACTTCTGTAATTTCCCAATTTAGTTATTCATCCATGTAACATATACTACACATAAGTTCTTGATATTACATTCTATGACCTAATAGTGGATGTCCAAATCCAGCTGCTCCAGCAGTTTTCAATTTTTCTGGTTGATCAGTTGCCAAAAGTCTGTAGGAACTTGAATCTCTTGCCATAATTTAATCATAATCATTCATTGTTATTCCACTAGCTAGATTTTTATTCTTTGCTAATTTTCACAGACGAGGTTGCGGTAACCTGTATTACAATCTCTTCACGGCCTCTTTCAAGGTTGGCAGGATTGTAGTTTGCTTCACATTCTTTATTTCACAGTGTGTTAAAAGTCAGATTTATGGAGAGCTTGCTGTCAGTTATGATTTATAGTTGCATATATTTTTTATAGATGATTGAAACAGAGTGTTTCCGAGAACTCAACGTGATGGAAGAGAATGGTGAACTAGTGTCGGATTTGCGTAATGACTCGATTAAGGGTGGAAAGAACAAAAGTGAATCTAATAACAAATTTAGATTTCTCGCACAACTGTTCAAGCGAAAAGTATGCTTTTGTTATATTTCCCTTTTCAGTCCACCATTTCCAATCTTATCGTTATTTTTTTTGTGTGGTATTTCAGTTTTACTTTTGGACATTTTCATTCCTTATACATCCCTCTAACTTTTACCAGTCAACCGAAATAATCATTTTAAAAGTAAACGATATAAAGCTAATAAATGAAGTACATCTTGCAGGCCTGATTTTACTGCCATCATTACATGTAGATAAATAAGTAGCTAAATAACTAAATAATGAATTGACCAAATAAATAAATAAATAAATAAGTAAATAAATAAATTAATTAATTAATTAAATAAATAAATAAACAAATGAGTAAATAGATAGATAGATAAACAAATAAATAAATAAATAAATAAAATA